TCTCTCTCTCTCTCTCTATCTGCATCTCTCCCTAACCCAATTACACCACACCAATACACACTGACAGGGAAATGTAACCATAACCACATAGGCACTTGTTGTATAAGCCTAAACACAAATCAAGAATACTTAGCTACACATACAATGGGCCAAACTTCTCTTACAGAACCACGCACACACACACACATACCAAACAGGTCTGCAACTGGAGATAAATGAGCTGTGGAGGACATTAACGCATGGAGGAGTAATATAAACATTCAGATACAAGCAGCAGAACTCATGCTGTTCAACTTAATGGAGGGCAAATATACATTACGGCTCTATCAGAGATAAAGAGCGAGAGGAATATGTAGAAGATACACTCAAGGAGTAAGACTGGATACCTATATGTTTGCATCTGTACTTGTGTGTGTGTGTGTGTGTGTGTGTGTGTGTGTGTGTTGCCTGTATTTGTGAAAAGGCATAAAAATGTGGACAAAAAGGTAAAATCCCTTTTTTTTTTATTCGCTGCTGCAAAGTCAAGTGGTATAAAAACACTCTGTAAAGTGTTTCCTATTATTATGTAGTTACAAATTCTGGGCTCTAATAATAATCTGTCTGTAAATCACTTTTCTTTGTGGTGGTTGTTAGACTAAACCTGTTTCAAGGGCATGAAATACCCTGCCACAATGGGTGGACTATGGCAGAGAGAAATAGCGGTAAAAGTCTGAAAAGAGTGCAATCATGCGCATGACAACTACACTTGGGGAAAAAGACCCCTTAAAATCGTCGGCAATTGTGCCTGCATCATTACGTGACACCACCACAGCAATAGAAATGACAGCAGAAGAATATTGTAGTAGCAGTGCTCCGAGCTATTTTTGCTGTCCAGACGTGATTGTATTGTTGTCATTTGACATCGGGCAATAACATTCGGAATCAAAATCATAAATCACTTCTTAGCAAGCATGTGAAAAACATGCAAAAAAGTGTGTGTTTGTGTATATCTGTTTGACAAAGCAGTGTTGTTGCATTCACAGACAAATACAGCCCACATGCATGGATTGATCCACTAGGGGGCCCTGGGGCAAAAATTAACACTTGTGGGCCCGCTAACCTCCCTTTTTCTCCTCTTACTCACTGTCAATGTTCCCTTTTCCGTCAAGTACACATTTTGCCTAGAGCCACAGAAACTAACCTATTGTTTGTTGGAACATCCTGTTTGCTGTTTGTCTATTATTAAAGACCCTTTTATTTTGGCATATAGACGATGTAAGAATACTATCCTTATACAAACCAAGACTTAGGAGGATTAGGTAAATACAGGTTTTTATCATTTCAGTTGACAACTGTTTTAATGATGCATATATTGAAACTATATTACAATTGATCAAATCACCACAAATCAATGAACCTGTGACTCTTAGGGGCCCCAGGAGTTCTGGGTCAGCCTCGCCTCCCAGGGTTAATTTTACACTGTCTGAAACTAAATGATAGACACACACACGCGCGCACACACACACACACCCAGAGGTCAGATAAACTTATCAGCATTTGCAAAGTGAGTTACAGTCTATTTTCATGTAGCCTATTTTGGTACAAGCTATTAGAACAGAGTAGCAAAGTGCATTCAGTGCTGCCTATCAGATGTTCACACACACACACACACACACACACAACCACAGACACACTGTATATAATTTTCACCACAATGACACTAAAAAGGCAAACTCATACTGCAGCCTTCTGCTCATATTCCAGTTCAACAGTACGTGGTCAAAACAAGTCTACACTGGGAGTGGGGGAGGGTGTGTGTGTGTGGGCAGTCTTGACCCTGCCAGCCTCGTATTGTTTGTTACCAGGTGGGACATTCCCAGGGGTCTTATAGACTGCATTCATCTAAGGTAGTATTAGCAGTAAGTTGATCTGGACGCAACACAGCACCCAGGGAAAATACCCTTACAACTGGAGTGGTAATTTCTGAAGATCTAAGGCTACAACAAGTCTTCTTGAACACTCAATCTGGTATTGCTTTCATTATACAAAACTGCCTGAAGGTCCTTCACATATAGTCCTTAGGAGTTTTTACTTGTAAATAGAAAACGTCAGTTTGGTTACAGCCTTCATACTCCATAATGAATTTAAAAACCTGGTTTAATAGTGACAGCTGATATTACATATTACAGCTGCTGTTTACAGGTTGTGGGCAGTAGAGCTTGGTACTGTATTCTTTTCTCTACTGTAGTTTTCAGCTCACCTATTGAACTCTCAGCCAGTTCACCAACCTACGAACTGTTCACACTGCCTTGCGCTTAAGGAGTGGAACCGTTTTATCAGCAATACGGGTGTCAACAAGTGTCCATCGGTGCTTGTAATAAACGGACACGGAAATACACAAATAGATAAGTGGATGACCTTTGCTCTGCACCTTTTCCTTTTTATTCACCACATCTCGCTCTTGTATCTCTTCACATTCACTTCACTCTTTCATTTTTTCAATGTTCCACTCTCTCCACACCATAGCTTTGCTCCTGTCCTCCGTTCTCTCAGTCCCTCTCGTTTGCTCTTCAAAAACACTCAGAACACACCTCTATTCACCACCGATCCTCAATACCTTTCTATTTCTCTCTCCCATCTGACCGAGATACACACACAATTGCGGTCAGCGACACACACACACACACACACACACACACACACAAACATGCACACTAATAAAAAGGCCCCCTTATAAAACTGCAGATGTAAACTCATTGAACCATAAAGAATACAACCTGGCCCATACCTCTGGAATAACAACAGACTATACAAGCTAATAAACTTTTCCTCACAATCCCAGCTCAACACTGCACTGCAGACTCTCTGCTTGTCCCTAAGCCATACATCAACTACCCAGCATGCCAGCCTCATCAGACGATGCGACGGGACAAACTTCACCCACCCTTCGCTCTCCTCCTTCTCTCTCTCCTTCTCTCTCTCCTTCTCCTTGGCTTTGCGAGACTTGTGCAGGAGCCCGATGAGGATCACGGCGGCCCGGATGCCAGCCTTTTTGTTGTGGAACCGTCCTCCGGTCTGAGACATGCTGGACGTTTCTGCTGGTGCCAGCAGGGGCTCCGGTGACAGCCGGTCCAAGGTCAGGCCAGCTCCAGGGTCCCTGGGCTGCAGGACCTGCTTGGTCGTGGCTTTGCGGGGTTCCAGTGTGAAGAGTGGTTGTCACAGTATTGGTTCTGTTTGCTGTCAGGTCTAGAGACAGCTGGCAAGTTTCTGCCAAAGAAAGTACCTGTTTGATTTTTGGCTCTGGATTGGCAGTTTAGAGCCTCTCCGTCAGACGTTCTGGTATAAATCTGACTATAATCCAAAAGTTAAAGATTCTGGAGCCACTTTTGGTTTGGCAGGTTGTCAGATCCGATTAAATCTCTGTTGTTCTTGGTGTTGTGATCAATGAGCATTTCTTGTAATCCCAGAGGTCTAGAGTGGCACTGTTAGACTCCAGCTCAAGGTGAACTTCTATCTGCATCCCCTGCCTCTGCAGAGAATCTGTGCATCGGAGCTCCATAACATATCACTGCCCCTGACGAGAGGATGAAGAGTTGCGCTGCTGACAGCCTCGGAGAAACACACACTGTGGTACTGCATCTCTGTCTACCTACCTCTACCTTCCCACCTCTCCCTCCTTCTCGTACATGCTCTGCTTCCTCTCCCTCTGTGCCTGCTGCTCCTCTGCTACCTCCTTCCTGACTGCTGAGCCCCGCCCTCCTCCGTCTGATAGGCTGGAGTTTGTGCAGGGACCGCCTCCTTCTCCTCCTCCTCTACTGTATGCCTCCCTCTATCTCTCCCTGCCCTTGTTTCTACCTTGTTAATAATTTTATATTAATCTCCCTGACCTTGTTCTATCTATGCTTGATTTTGATTTCATTTCTAGGCACATGCATGCACACCCACACTAACCCACCCCATCTCTCTCTCTCGCTCTGACACACACACACACACCCTGTCCCTCTGTGTGAAATCTCAATTCAAACAGGCTTATCAGCCTATTGCCTGCTGTGCTGTTGCCAAGGACATTGGAATTGAAATGTAAGCTCACAAAATGAAAGGAGATTAAATGAAAACATGTGAAAAAAATCATAATTTTGACACATTTTGCGTGCTGTCTTTTGTGCACGTACACAC